TTTTACATGTAGTATGACTTACAGCGTTCTCTCCATATGCAGCACAAATCATTGCAGTGGCTTCAGCAGCATTTTCTTCAGATGAAACGCGAAGTGGATGGAAAATCGAATATGCTCTTTTGTTTTTGCCATTGTGAATACTATTGATTTTTGAGGTTTTGTGCATCAAACGCCAAACCGTATGGCATTTTAGAAGGCCAAATGTCAACGCCTTAAAACTGCAAAAGGGCGGGAAGATATATAAAATTTAAATTGTTATTTTGGTTGTATGAAATCTAAAGCTCAGAACTTTTTTGTACACCTAATAGAATACCTCCATCACCTCCGATTTTGATAAATTTGGGCTCAATCGACGCGGTTTCGTTCAAAATAAAAGAATCTGACAAAAAAAAAAAACGCGGCAGTCTGCCTCGCGAATCGAAATATTAAGTGTTAAAAGTTGACTATTTTTTTGGTTAAGAATTTTGTTATAGCGACTCGATACAGCGCTATGTGTATATACTTTAGCTACATGCACATGCGCTGTACGCCACCATGCGCGAATTTTAAAACAAATGAATCACTAGCATTGTCTACGACAACGCAATTATTAACATATTCATCCGTAATATTATCTATCAGCAACAATGCAATTATTTGAATTTATTCAATTGCTAGCCAAAAGAGATGAATTAGTAAATTTTCTAATTCAATGTGGTGTGTTGTCATCAGTAACAAATTGTGAAAAGTGACAATGAAGTAAATATTAACAAGGAAACATTAATATTCCGATATAACAGAAAATATTTTTCATCGGCTGGATCAAAAAAGAAACAAGTTTCGAAGCAATGTTTCTTCGAGAAAAGTGTAAAAGTAGGAACATGGTTTGCCCATAGCAATTTAGACATCGAAATAATCTGCAAGATAGTACCATGTTTCTTGATGCTATGTCCTCCTCGACAAGAAGACCTCGAAGAAGAACTAAATGTTAATAGTAAGTGAGGCATTATGGCGCGTCCAAACAAACCCCCACCACCTTCCTACTGGCATCAGGAGCGTGGCCCCCGACAGTCAAAAACTGGCAGCCATGTGGAAATGGAGCGTTCTGATTGGTCGGTGGGAGGGAGGTGATAATTAGGTAATTAGTGGGAGCGTTCTGATTGGCTGGCTCCGTAGCTGGCCGGCGCGTGATTGGCTCTACCCATAGTGCCCCATGTGTGCGAAATGCTAGACGAAAAAGTAGGGGAAGGGGGAAAAAGTGTCTGGCACCGTTCGGAGTCCGAAAATAAAATGGCGTCTACGAGACGAAAGAAATATGGGTCTGTAAAAGGAATATACTTGTTGAGAATGGAATGTGATTTTTTTGTGACACGCGGGATGGAATGAAGAGAAGAAAATCAATTTTTTGTGGTTTTATGGGTGGCTGTATATGGGATATGAAGAATCACGTTTTTCTTAGGGCGAAAGGTTCTCGGCGCCTCATAATCGATGAATTTAGATAAATTTAGATAAATCTCGACTCGTTTGACATTTTTTGTATGGAGGAAATGCAGGTTACAAGTGGATATAGGTTTTGAAGACGTGAGGTTTGTCGGAGTGTAATAACCGTTAGAATTATTCAGCGTGTACGTACGGTATTTGGGAAAACAGGAACGGACAGGTTCACACTAGAGGTTTCTGACGACGACGACGACGACGACGAACTTGGAGTTATACGAGGCTTTTTTTCTATGACAACCACGTGAATTGAAAAAATGTTCTAGATAAACTCTAGATTTTTCTAACATTTGGAGTTATACACTAGCGTGGTTATTTTCCTTAATTGTATGGTAAATAACCGAAAAAATATTTTAAAAACGATTAGATATTTCTAGCTTGGAATGTGGTTAAAACTGCCTTTAGATCAGTGGGGAAGGAAGTAAAATGGACAAAGAATTTATGTTACAAAAAATTAAGTTTATTGTTATATCATTATACATATTATACCATAATAGTGTTTCTTTAATGTTTAATTATTCTTAAAAGTACAAGTTTGTATATGACAACACGCTACATGAGATTTTTCGCATTTCCTTTTTCCATGAAGAAAGATTTTACGAAATAATTGTACAATTAGTCTATCATTATCTTTGTAATCTTCGCTGAATATTTTGACAAATTGTTTAAGCTTATAACCGCGAGACAAATAATAAAGAAATACGCAGCAATATTGTACACACGTCTGAGAAAATGTGCCTTGTAATCGCGTGATGTTCCATTTATAAGTAGTAAAGTTTCGTCGAAGGCGTAGATTGAATCTGGAATCTGAAATCTGGATTCCAGGGGTGGTAGTCTGTAGCTATCGAAATACGTGCCTTCTTCGTGCTTGTCTAAATAGAAAGCAACCCAGTGTTGTCCAGGATGATCGTGATTACCTGTGTTCGCGACGATGGCCGTTGACTTCGTCCACACTCTCGGGATTCTGTCGGCAGGATACACACCCGCATGTCCGACACTGAGATGATGCAACACTCGTAAGATTTCGAGCGAATTCATCTCTCGCAGTGAGGAATGATGTTTGAGTTGTTTCCTGGCTCGTTATATTTTTATCTTCTTGTGAGGATTGTACGGTAAAAGCTTCCTTTTTTTCACGCTCGAGTTTCGATAGATCTTCTTTCTCCGTTTTTATTTGTTCGCACCTCGCTTGTTCTGTTTCTAATCTCTTATTTCTCCACGTAACAAGATTCGGAAAATTTCGTTTTATTGTAAAAACCTCGCTCTCTGTATCACTGTCATCGGAACTTTCATTGGTAAAAGAATTAGCACTGCTTATGTCGCGGTTCCGTTCTTGAGATTGCATCCAATATCTCAATTTGCATGCATTGCGTAACGCGCAATGAAATTTGTCGGAATTTCGATGAAACTCGTGATGACCGCAGCACAATTCACCTTTCGACAGATTTTTGAAAGCAGGAGAAATTCCTTCCTTCTAGATTATATGCGTTTCTTGGGAATGTGTTTTCCAAATAATGTATCTTCTTTCGACCTCGGGTGTATATGTAACGCGCTTGACGTGCAATTTTACGTAGTTCCGTCATGAAATGTTTGGAATTGACTGTTCCGTCAAATCACTCGATCCCGTGGAAGTTTCGAGAGAGCCAGTTGTTTTCTCGTCTGTATTTTTCGGGTAATTCGACAAATGGATATGAAGGCATCATAATGCAGTGACTTATGAATGCTTCGTTAATGGCGACAACCGCTACTTCCTTCGGCATAAACTTCCCCTCAGCGTTGTGGAAACCTTGTATATCGATAACTATATATTCTATGATGCATAGAATATACTTTCAATCTGTTTTGCACGAAGTGACGACGTTCGCGTCTAAAGCAAAACTGCTATTTTTTGTTAAGCTTTCGAAGAAATAGAAATGAAAAGTAGATAACGGAGGGAGGGAAGAAATTTGAGTATGTCTTATCCGCTAAAATCAACGATAATTTGACGTGAGGAATCGATCTCTAACATGTTATCGAATTCTGCGTAAACGATACAATTAATCGTTGAGGTAATAGCTTTTTCAAATCGCATCTCTAATCGTAAACTTCCATGTCTGACAAGATTCCTACGCAATTTGTCGACAGATCGGGAGATCGAAAGCGAAAAGCGTGAAACCTTTGACATAATCTTCTCTGTTTATAGAATTCTCCTCGTTTAGAAAATGGATGCCGGTTCCTGAGAAGAGGGTGTTATAAGCCTCGACGTAGAGCGGATGGTCTTTTGAGAAATTCGATTGCAGCGGTCTGCTCGGAATTTGCACGCCATCGGCATATAGCGAGAAGAAATTTATGCCGTAATTTTTGAAATTAAATGGATTTAACTTTCTGTTGCCGTTAAACGCTTTGTTATCGACGAATCCAACTATTACTCGCTTCGGAAGTTGCCCGAGTATCGCGTTATCAATCGATTCTTCTACCACTCCGGCGTGAATCGTAAATGTTTTAATTTCGACTCGCGTCAGAGGATACTTGGCGGTTGTTTTACTCAGCATTCTCGTATGTTCGAGTAACACTGCAGGGCTTATTTTTGCTCTTCTTATGAGTAAACTAGCATCTAAAATGCGTATTTTTGACGTTGAGTTGCCTTCCATGAAAAACGCATCTCTCGAGCGAACGAGTCCCATTCTAACTCCACTTCGTTAATTAAAAATTTATCCTGATTAAAGACGTCGCAATGAAGATGACCTATTAGATCTACCGAACGTTCTCCTTGGATGTATCGGGTGCGACGAGAGAGCTTAATTGGGGTTGTCCGATTCTAATAGCGCGTCCATATAACCGGGTTCGTCCGTGTCTCATAGACAGGAAGTCAGATGGGAAGTTTTTGTCGGTGAAGAATAATTTAATAATGCTTCGATGTACGCGCGGTACGCGTATGCGTTGTTTGGGGGTGATACGAGTTTTTGAAGTACACGTCAATCTGGTTGAACATCGAATGTAGTAGATGATTCACAGGGCCTACTTTGTTTCCTCCTCCTCCT